AAATGCAAATTTCACTCGTGAACAAAACTGTTGTACTAAATATTGCATTTGCCCGTAATGATTTTCTTTTAATTTTTTCATTGCTGCGTATCCTAATTTCCTCCCGAGGAACCTTAAAAATTCTCGATCTACATAAGAACTACCACATAAGTCTCCACTACGTTCGGTAATTTCACTCAATTTCATTCCAGGCAATAAAGTTCTGGTTGTTAAATCTACTGTACCACCACCACAGTCAACAATCATAAATGATGCTAATGCGTGATAAAAAAAAAGTTTGGTATTATGAAATGGATATATATGCGTGCGCGCATAAATTGAAAATTACAGATATATTTACCTCCAACGGTTAAGTGATGTTCAGTTAAACTCTTCATACAATATACAGCAGCTGCTTCGGCTGAAAAAAAAAAAAGTTATACTTAAAATTATGATTAATTATTTTAAATTTTTCGATTCGTTAATAGGTTATATAGTGTTTTTAACATACGTTCCGTTGTGAATTCCAAATTTTCAGATTGTCTAGTTTCCAAGTAGCCCGCGTTGAACATACATTCTCTCATAATGGCTTTGGCATCGTGATGCCTATCAAAGGGAAAAAACTCCAGGGTAATTATGAAAAGATCATATGATAAGGTGATAAAGGAAATTTTTGAGAAACCTAATAATTACCATTCTGAAGGTACCGATAATACGAATCGTACTTGTTGAGGATACCTTATACCCGGCCATCGAGAGTTAAGTGTTTCCACAATTAACTAAATAAAATGAATTCATACAAAATTAGCACATTTCCTATAAGTGACCTCCTTTTCTAATCGCCTAGTAAAAGTAAAATGATCTTACTTTATTCATTTCATGTAGATAATCAGTGATTGCTCTTCTAGGATCTAACCCATGAGGAAGCTGAGGCTTTTCATCTTCTCTTACATTCGCCAAATGTAATTTAAACAATTCCACTGGTTTGGTTCGTGGTTTATTTTGAAGGCGCTTTTTCTTTGGTGGTTCTTGAGCCAAAGCAGGATATCCCCATGCTACCAATTGTAAATTATCATCATACGCTAATACCGTATTGGTTTTGAAAACCCCTGTTTGTTCTGGCCTATTATTTAAATATGATATCATTTAGAAAGGATAATTATAATTCCAGACGGTTTAATATATCCACTTTGCTAAAACCTCGTACTCTAAATTTCCAATTCTGTCAAAAGGAATCTAGAAATGACTTGAAATTTTTAAAATTTCTTACCACTACAAAATATATATATATATTATTTTTTTTTTTTTTTTTCAAAAAGGTAAATTAATAAATAAATCTAGAGGACTCTGTTTTTTAATTTCAAATTTTTAAAGTTGAACTTACTGTGTCGTTGGTGATGATTTCTGGATTGATCTTGTTTGAATATGCAAATCCTAATTAAAATCCCAAACAAAATTATTTTCTAACATCAATTCTAATTGATAAAGGCAATTAAAATGTGAAATTTTATACCTGAGAATGTTGTACCAAAATCTAGAAAGTTAATGAGCGTAGTAAATGATTAGTATAAGAGAATAACAAAATACGCCATGATTAACGTCACATCGAAAACATACCAATCGATACAACAACTCGAATATCTCTTGCCGTATTCATTGGCTTGTTATCGCTTATATATATGACCGAGTTGTTAAATTAAAAATTTCTTCTCTCTTTGGAGTAAATAGTTGTTAATGAAGAAAAAAAAAATGGAATAAGAATTAGATTTGTTAATATATTTTACTAAAAAAAAAAAAAAAAAAAGAATTGAAAGGTTCAAAAGTTTTTTATTAAAAGTTTATATTACTGTTTAAATTTTGCTTTCCACAAATCCTCAAAAAATATTTGTTCTTTTAAAAGGAAATATAAGAAGACAAGAAAACTAGAAAGTTGTTTAACAAACAAAAAAAAAAAGGTTTTTAACAGATTCCAAAAAAATTTTTATTTTAAGTAGTGCAACTATAATAAAAAACCTTTGCCTTTCATATTTCGAGCACCTACCGTTAGATGAGCTGCAAAAATTTATTAATAGTTTTTATAACCCCTGTGTGTAGTTTTCTTAACTTTTATTATTATTGAACAGAAAAAAAAAAGTTTTTATATTAAGAATCTATTTAATGATATGATGATTCTAATTCTTTTTTTTTAAAAAAATTTTTTTATTTTTATTTATCCTTTTTTTTTTTTAAAAAAAAAAAAGCGAAAAGAATCACCTTTTTGACGAATTCATAAAAAAAAAATTTAGATATCATTAAAAAATGTATCGTATCACAATCCTTTTCAATGACTTCCACATTTAACACATTTACCAAGTTTCATCCTAAAATCATTACACTTTGATAGGTCTTTAATCTCAAAAAACAGTTAATGTGTTACAACGGATGAAACTATCGATCAGATAACAAATTTGTGCTGAAAAAGAGTTTTTTTTTTTTTAGCCGGATCTATTTTTGGCCTTCATTTTCATAAATAATTCGTGTAATCAATTAACCCAATTAACCTGTGATCTAGTTTTCCTATTCATTTACTTTATAATCACATCTGTTTGTGTTTAACACTCCCAGGCAAATTCCTTTAAAGGAATTCATGGTTTCGCGAGTAAACGAATGAGAATCTGAAAAAGGAATCGAATAATATACGAATAATATACGAACAAACGTATCTATTGGGCGCACACGGAGTTAATTTCCCTATTGTAAATCTATCAACAAATTTAGAAAATAAACAATGAGATGAAGATTGAAATTTCTTCAAAGAATAAAAAAAATAAAAAATTATAAATTTTTTTTTCCTCCAATCATTCACAAGTGATATAAATTAGAAAATAATGTGATTTCAATTGTGATAATGTGAGAACGGTTTTTTTTCTTTTGTCATTTTTGCATGATAGTAAACTTTTTAACGTAATTATTATATAAGATAACTTAACTTTAAATGAACTATGCCTGATCCTCCAAATTCAGGTGGTAGAAAAACTCAAGCTACTCAAGAAATTGATAGTAACGCACCTCCAATTCCTACAAGAAAACGATACAAAGGTACGTCACGTCTGCTCGAAAAATAAATAATTAAAACTCAGAATTTCAATTTTAAAATTATCAACATTAATAATAGGACAAGCACATTCTAGTGATTCAAGTCGACAAAAATCCAAAGAAGACAATGAATTACTTCAAATTCCTCCCGAAAATTTAGATTTTAACAGCGTCCAACGTATACAAAGTTTAGCTTCAAAATATAAACAATTGTTTGAACAAGTTGATCAAGAAAAAGGAACTTTAATTAATCAAAGACATGATTTGCAATTAAGGTACGATGAAATTCAAGGGAAATTCGAAACAGAGAAAAAGCGTTTGCAACAGAGAGCGCAAGATTCGGAAGTAGAAGTGTCAAATTTAAAGAAACAATTGGTAGAATCAAAGGCAGAAGCTTCGATGTATCAGAGTGCACTTGGTAAAGCCACAAATGTAAGGTGGGGAGATGAGGATAGTAATAATCTTGTACAATTAACAAAAGTTATTACAGAAATCGTTAATTCACTTACGGAAGTTACTACAGTAAAAGGGAGAGATATTACGATTGATGATGATGCCGCGAATGAATTATTTCAAAAGTACAATTGTTCAACTAGGATTAGTGTCAAAAGTTGGAAACCGATATTGGCCGCTGCCTTGCAAAGATTAATCGTAGAAACTTTATTTCATGAATTAGCTAATTATTTAAATCATTCGGACCCAAGATCAAAGCCTAAACCACAACATTTAAGACAACCATCACAATTTTTGCAAACACAAACACAACCACAACCACAGCTACAATCTCAATCCCAACCACAACCGCAACCACAACAGCAGCAGCAGCAACAGCAACCACCATCATCACCAATTAATTCTCAACCTGACGCTCAAGCACAAGCTAATGCAGTTCTTGCTAATGCTAAAAAAGATTCTCCAAAACGTTCTTCCTCCTTAATTGTTCCAAAAAGTTATCCGCAACCAGTTGTGATAGACCAGAATAATAATTTAGAGGCGGAAATTTATTTATCAATGACCCAATTAGTTGGTTTGGTTAACCATTTAGCTGAAGCACGTACAGGAACCGATGACATCACAAAAATCACTCCAATAAAAATTCGTCAACAAATTTATGCCGTGTTGGGTACAAGAGGTTTTTGTAAAAATAATCATCCATTTATCGATCAACTCACGACAAAAATCCTCGACACGCTTTCTCGTTATCGTCAAATAAAAAATGAAGAACGTTTGGCTGATTTAAAAGAACATACTACTAAATTAATTAGAGAAATTGTACATTTATATTTCAGATTAAATGCTCAAGAACCTGTTCCTGACTTTAAAGATTTCTTTGAGGCAGGAACTCCTGTACAAAATAATGTTATGGATGGTGCTTGGGATGATGATTTAATTGATAATTTGGAAGTGGAAATTTGTAGTTTTCCATTGATTAGTGTAAAGAGCTCTAAAGATCAAAGTAAAAAAGTCCTTTGTAAAGCTCAAGTTGTTACCAGATCAAAAAATAATTAATTTATTTATTTATTTATTTATTTATTTATTTATTGTCATTAATCTCATTATTTCAAAATTTAATATTAAAGAATACAGTTTATTATTATTATTATTGTGTAATGAAACAAATGAGAATTATTTGCATAAATAAATATAAATATAATTTGTTTTTTTTTTAATGAAAATTATATTTACTTGCATACCATTATTAGGAAATAGGAAAAAATTATTATTTAAAAATCATTAAAATATATATACAGTATATATGTATATATATAACGAATATATAAGAATTAAATATATTTTACATATGATGGGGTTCATTGTACTGAGCATGACTATTGTGATGAACTTGTTGTTGATGATAACCTTGGGCAAAATTTGCTGCCTCACGTTGTTGTTGATGATTAGCAGTTTGTGATGATGGTAATTGAGGTAATGCTTGATGCTGTTGCTTAATCAACTGTATATTTCTTATTTTATTACGTGGAGGTAATGGTGGTGGTGGTGGATCCGATTGACCTTCTTGTATTGGCGGTTGTTGAAACAACCCTTCTCCTTGTTCAATATTTCTATTATTAGTTTTATTATGATGATTAGTACCATTCCAATGAAAACCTTGTGATGATGGTAATGCATATTGATATGACATAGGATATATTAGATTATTTTCTATCGATGGATTATAACCATTATTCTCGTGATATGATTGAGTATCTTTTAAATGTTGTCTAACGCGCATTAAAATCTCTCCAAGCATGTTCTTTCCTGATCCATCACCGCCATCACCCCAAAATTTATCAACTTCTGTGTGTTCTACCAATCGTTTATCTCCCGTTTCCAATAAACGCCTTGCAAGGAAACGATGTTGTTCAAATTTACATCTTACAACCCATTCCATTACTTTGACATTTATTGATTGCCAATTTGGATCCGTATAAGCTTGATATAATCGTGCCAAATTTAATGCATCTCTAGCTGTAGCACATTGGCGTATTCTATCAGCAATTTCTTTATAATGTTGAAATTTTGCCGCCTGAAAAAGATGTTCACTTGTTGGCCAACGTTTAAGTTCTAGCGCTGCTGATTGAGGAAATGGAATTATTGCTTTTATTGGAAATCCTTGTTGGAAATTTGTGAATTCATAATATGGATCATATCTATTATAAAACCATATGGTATTTGGCGGTGGTTGTTCTCGAACTACATGAAAAAACATGATTAGTTAATGTCATAAATTAAAACTTAATTTAGATTCCTTATGCAAACCTTGAGGAGGTAACGGAGGTAGACTATACATGTTAATGTTGCAATCCGTTTGATTATCTAAAAATTTTGTCAATGAAAAGGAGTTAGATTTGCTTAATACCATCAATGAAAATGATTGGGAATATATATTTATATATATTTATTAAGAGAACTGAAAGACAAATTGAAAAGTAAAAGTTTACGTTACCATAATTTAAGTGAATTTCGCGATCATGTGTACAAATAAAGCATTTCGTTGGATCGCGATCATTCAAAATCATGCAAATGCAATCGCAAGCCATACATTTCCCGTATCGTAATTGGTTTCCATTATCATTTGATGGTAAAATTGCATGTTTTAAGTGATCATGATTACATCGACAGCAGATTAAAGGATTGTGTTCATCCGGGATCATGTCTAGGCAGTCGCAATTAAAATCCGTACAACGCCCGTAATTCATGTGATTTATGTTATCATTTAATGATAATTTCTCAATTTGCAAATTTGTGTGCATTACTTTATCGTGGTTACAATTCAAGCATCTTTCTGGATCCGTTTCATTATGAACGATGGAAGAACAGTCGCAATGATTTTCCATACAACTCCCGTATGTTGTCTCTCCCGGTCGAATAGGAATAGGAGGTGGTAGACTACTATAACCTTGATTTTGCATTATTAGAAAGTTGGGAACTTTTTTAAATCAAAATAATATCGAAATAATGTTTTTCGGTTAAAAGATTTATATATATTTTTTTATACCCAATCCGATTGCTATTGAGGCTAATACTGAATTCGTTACTATTTACGCAATCAACTACTATTAATAAATTTTGTGGAGTGATTTTAGTCGTACAAATTTAATTGCAAAACCGGTAAAACCGTAAGAAAAAATTGTTTTTATTTTAGTTAATTTCCGATTGTAGTAAGGATATGTCGATTCGGTAATTTTTGGTGTTACTTTCGTCGCTTTTTGGTGGGTATTTGTCGAATAAGGTTTTCTATATATATATACAGTAGAATGTCATAGAAACTTTTTGCGTCACATAATCACGAGATAAAATTCCAATATTAAATAAAACATTTTTTTTTTTTTTTTTAATGCGATTACTAAATAAATTATTAGATATTGAGTTTAAATCGATCCTAAGACCGCTATAAATATTGATTTTAAAGATCCAGATCGCTAAAGACCGGATGGATCGAATTTGATCCATATATATCACGTGAAAGCATCACAAAATTAATTCCTTACAAATAAAGATTTTTCGGGTTATATGAATATTTAAATTTTTCGTTGATTAGTCATGCAATGTATTAATGAAAAGACCAACATATTTACTATATTTTACAAGTTATTAATACGACAAATTAAAAAAAGAAAAATAAACAGGTGTCTAAATCTAAAAAATACACTTTAAATAATATTTAAATTAAATCTGCCATTTGTTATAAAGTTTCATAAACTATCAAATATTGTGGGATAGAAGCTTCTTCTTTGTAAACCACAACTTCATCATAATTCAGATTCCCGGAAGTACTTGGTTCGCCAAGTACACTATCAAATCCAACAGGAGGACTTGTTAAAGTCATAGCATCTTTGGTTAATGCGTATCCTTTGCCTACGACTATTTTGTTCAGTAACATTACTTTATAATTCACTCCTAAATAATTTACTAATGACCCTTCATTATAATCATCTGATTTTGATGATGTTCCAGAAAAATAAATTCCACTTCCAAACCTTTGAAATGCCGCACTTATTGTGCCTGTGCCAACATATTTTAATTTATATCCTTCCCTTATTATAGCGCATACTGAACATTGTTTATCACTACAAATTTTGTTGTTCTGTAATCCAACTTGACATTTCCTACATAGAAGAAAAAGACAATTTTAAAACTTTTATCTTTAAATTTTTTATTTTAAATAAATAAAAAAAAAAAAAAATACGCACATTTTAGTTCCATGAAATCTACGTTGTTCATTTCCAACACTCATCGTACGTTGACCTTCCCCTTTGGGAAAAGGTTTGCCTTCTAATTGGTGCATCCTTTCAACTTCCGCCTTATAAGTATTATATTTGTTATTCAATATATCATTGCAATATATTTTCCATATCGAATGAACTTGTGGAACTCGTTTGTGTGGATGCCTCCATGCCATTTTAAATTGATTAAGTACATCCTTATATTTTTCTGCATTGACCGGAAGTTTAAATAGACATGGCACTAAACAAAATATAATTCGTTAATTGATATATTACATATTGGAACAATCGATCTGAAATGTGATAAATTTACCATTGGTTTTGGCCCACCGCTCACAATCATCACGACAAAAATCTCTTCCTTTTAACGCAAACTCTTTACCACAAACCAAACACATATAATTGGCCCTTTCTACGGTTAAACTTTGCCAATTAGGTGTTCTATCCCTACACGATTTCGAGCACCATAATGACCCTTTATGAACGTCTTTAACCTATTCGTTAAAAAAATAATGGATATAAGTGTCAAATCAAGTGAAACTCGATATTTGTCATTTTACTTACTTTACATAAATAACATTTTGGTAGATTCCTACAGCGTTTTTTGCCACAAAACTTTGAGTTGGAAACTTGAGGATATTCTTTACATAGAATGCAAACAGGGTTGGCAAACCCGGCTAAGGAAGCATCTTTTCGACATTGATCACTACAATATTCGCCGGGATATCCGTCGAGATCACAATCTACAACTTTACTAGTACAGTTAAAACAATGACTCTCGGTAGTGGTTTCGTCATTAATTGAAAAGGCAACCGAGACTATGGAAGCAGAATCACTACGATCATAGTTTGCTGCTTCTTTTGGGGGGTCATAATTTGGTGGAGAATATGGTTGTCCAAAAATAGGATTTTGCGAATAATAACCACCAGAACCACCTTGCTGAGGATTATCGTTTATATATGAGGTTACTCTAGGTATTGGAACATTGTATGTAGGAGCTTGTATGGGTGGATAATTGTTAATAGGGATCTGTGCAGATATCGGTAAGGGTGGTAAGGGTGGAGAAGGTTGTCGTTGAGTATATGTGGATTGTGGATAATAGTGTTGTTGTGTATATATGGGAGGTTGCTGATATATAACGCCTTTGTTATTACTCTAAAACGAAGAGAAGAAAAAAACGTGTGATAAAATAAAACAATAGTTAATTAATTTAGTAAAGTATTTTACAATAAGAATTTATACATGAATTAATCGTGTGATGTTTATAAATCATGATTATCACATAAAATAATTTACCGGATTGCTACTACTACAGCAGTTTCCCATCTTTATTAGTCGAGGAAAAAAAAAAAAAAAGGATAAATCGATGAATTTAAAATTGAAACCGATTTATATAAAAATTATTTTTTAAAAAAAAAAATTATTATACGTAAAATTATTATACGTAAAATTATTATACGTTAAATTATTATACATTAAATTATTGATGTATCATAATAAAATTACTAAACAAATTTATATATATATATAAAAAAAAAGAAAAGAAAAAAAAGAAATCTTTCAAAAATCAATTGAAACAAACATTTTTATAAGATAATGAAGCTTGATTAAATTAGGGTTGTACGTCGTACGATCATATTCGTGAATTGTAACGGAGTGTAAATTCCATTGGTAGTTCAGTCATTGCTACCTAAATATAGGATATAATTTAAAAAAGTAAAAATAAACTTCTTTTTGTTCGCGTTTATTTATCACATAAAATGCACCTTAATTTTACATAACGCCACTTGGTTATTCAAAAGGAAGTAAATAATATCACAAAATCAAAAGATCTGCTGCGCCCTCCGAATTTCAAGGGATTTCCGGATAAGTATCCGGTTTCACTAGAATAGAAATTAAAAAATCATTGTTTTCAAATTTTTTAAAACTTCAAATCCTAATTAATCCACTTCAACAAATTTAAATTTTGTTATGAGAAGCTTCTCTCACATTTTAAAGCTTGAAGGAATGGTGAAAAGTAATCATTCCAATTTTGGGGATGACTAAAGCCGGGTTCAATCACGTGATTCACAAAAATATTTGTCACTCCTCTGTTTTTAAGTATTCTAGGACGTTGAATTTTTTTCGGCTGTAATTCGGGCCAAAAATCGTGGTTAAATCCATCCCCCGAATTTGGTGTTTATAATTATTGCTTTATAATTGTTTCATACTTCGAAAATATCATTGATTATATAATTATTTAATTCATTTTAAATAATAATTCTTATCATGCTATAAACAGGTTGGATCAATTCCAATCTGATACTTTTTTTCAGGTCAGGTCAGTCAGGTAATCTGTTCTAACCTGTTTGATTTAGGAATTGGAATCGATTATCAAATCAAAATCAAATCAAAATCAAATCTCATTTTTTGAAAGAAAAATTAAAATTAAACAAAAAATGAATTTAACATTATATCTAAAGATCAAATACATGGTTTAAAGCATTTTCAAAAATGAAAAATTGAAATGATCAGTATATGATCAGCAATAGCATCTGTATTATAGTATTTTACAGTTAAATATTAGCAACATTGTATAATTTGCTAAGATTTTATATATTTATTAATTATAGAATTAATTATTAAAGTTTCTTATAAGGAATAAAAAATCAAATCTACAAAGATTTGATAATCAATTCCAATCTCTAATTTGGTTTGAAAATCCAGTTTAAATTAGTAAAATCATTTAATTAGAAGAATAATAAATTGTTCAATTAAAATAATAATAAATAATTCTTATTAAATAATAAAGAAATTATTCAAATAAACAATAGTAAATTATTCAATTAAATAATAATAAATAATTCTTATTGAATAATAAGAAATTGTTTAATTAGAATAATAACAAATTATTCAAATTAAACAATATAAAATCATTCAATTAGAATAATGAAAAATCATTTAATTTAAATAATAATGAATTGTTTAAATTAAATGATAAAAAATTATTCAAAATAAATTATATGAAATCATTAATTAAAAAAATTCTACTAATCTGATTTGAATTTTCAAGTCAAATAGATTAGATAATAAATCCATCTGATCTTAAATTAACTTGAAAATCTATTGACCTAATCTGAATTTTTAGATCAGATTAGATCATATAATAAATTAACTTAACTTGATTTGAAATTTTTATCTAACTAATTATAATCAACCTTTTTTATAGTTACTCTCTATATTTACATCTTCTTTTTAAACACTTTATATTTGTTTCTGAATTTTTTAGTATAAATATCCCTTTATAATCACATATTAATTATAATTACTATTACACTAATTATTAAACTGACATATATTAATAATTTTCCTTTATATAGTTCTATTATCACATGATAAATTAGTAAATAACATTTAATTATAATAATAAATCATATAAATTACTTTAATTTTTAAGTAATTTTATTAAAAATTTAGTTTTTACATAAAATTAAAGATAATTAATAATTTTATTTAATTTAATTTAAGCTTATTCTAATTTTATATTTAAAAAAAAAGGGAAATATTAAAAATTTAGAGATGTTAAAAGAATAAAAAAAAATAAAAAAAAATAAACTAACTGTTTAAAATCCAGAATTAAAAGGAATTTAAAAAAAAATATTAATATAATTACATTAAATTAATTAATAATCTATTATATAATTATGAAATCTAATTTTATATTAAGCATACTTCTATACAATTATACTATTAAGTAGTTCCAAATGATATAATTGTAAAAAAAGATTAATTACAGTCAAAACTCAATATAATAAATTTGACATTTAGACTGATTAGGCTTTTATTATAAGAAAATTCATTAT